TCCAGCTCGGCATAGAGCAGAGGGAAGGCAGATGAACTTTTGGAGTGGGGCAGGAAGGTAGGCGATGCTTCGGGCTTGGAGCGCTCCAGCTCAGCAGCGAACATCACCTCCACGGCAGAGCTCCGGCGCCGGCTGTCCAGGGTGGGCTCGGAGGTGTGCACCCCATTGGCATGGTAGGAGCCCCGGCCGCTGTAAGCCAGGCGCAGCTCCTCCACCTGAGCAAGGACAGAGGGTCGGTGGGTGTCCAGACTCCCAGCTGGGCCAGCGGGCAAAGCAGGGCCAGCAATAGGCCCATAGAGCCAAGGATCTGGCTTGGCCACCAGCCTTCTCTGCCAGCTGGGGCCACCATGCCAAGACCTGTTCCCCTCCATCAACCCCAGTGCTGAGGGGAAATACCTGCTTGGAGACGTCAGTGAGGAGGTCTGGGGAGGAGCGACACTGCCTCTCATCATAGTGGGATGTGTAGTGCTTCCTACAAGGCCAAGAGCATGGTGGGCTGTGTGGTCAGTAGGCCTCCACCTCAAAGCCCGGGCATTCCACTCCCCCACCCCACCCCTCATGCCCCCTCAGTACCTCTCGAAGGGCAGGCTCTTCCTCTTTGCCTTCCTCCCATGCTCCAGCAGCTGCCGCTGTGTCCTCCCACTGCAGCAAGGGGGGGAGAGGTGTGAGCAGCACCACCAGACCCAGCCCTGGCCATCCCCACGTCCTAGGGGAGGTGAGGGCATGCAGCAGGACCAAGGCAGCGGTCTCCCCGTAAAAAGCAGCTGTTGGGCATCACCTCACATCTGGCCAAGTCCAACATAAAAGGGAGTCTCTGAGCCATCTCCATACCCTTCCTGGCCTGCATTCATTTTCCCCCCAGGACTTTACCTGTAGCGGAAACTGGAGCCCTTGCTGCACAGAAGGGCTTTGGGCTTTGACTTTGGTTCTTCAGACAGCCTGAAGAAGGCATGGTACTCCACACATGTCTTCCAGAAAGCCTTGCAGGCATCCCGGCTTGCCATGGTGAACTCCAGCGTGTCCTTGCACAGTGCCTGCATGGCCAGAGACAAATGAGCTGGTGTCAGAGGCATGGGGCCATTTGCCCTCCTCACCTCCCAGAAGATCACAGTGGCTTGGTGGCTCTGGCCTCTGGGGACATGGAGGGGTGGCACATGCCATGATCAAGGAGAGGGGGAAGAAGAATCACCCATGAGCAGCAAAAATGGATTTAATTCAAAAATCTGACATGTCGCGTGGCTGATCCTCTGTCCAGCTGTTCCTGCACCTGGTAGCTGCCTGCAACATGGTACTTACAGAGATGTTTGCATGGAGCTTGATGAGAAAATGCTTTCTCTTGAAACTCAGTTTGCGAATTTTGGACCAGTTGAATGTGTTGATCTTCGTATTGCCCTGCAAGGATGGACGCAGCGGTTACAGCAGGATGGGGCAAACAAGGATTGCAGAAATACCATGGGCCAAGACCTGAGCTTGTACACAAGACCCCAACATCACTCTCACTGCTGCTGAGGTCTGAGGAAGGTGTGCTGTGACTTGCTGGTTAACAATTAGTTGATCCCCAAAAGTGAGAATTGAGGTTCAGGGCTTAATTCTGCCTGCTCTGCTTTTTGTACAACTCCAGGATCCCGAGACAAACCTCACAGAGGTCAAGACCCATCCGTCCCAGCTCAAATGTCACATGAGTTAATGCAGAATCGGGCCTCTAAAAATAAGACCTTCCTCTGCTTTGCTGGGAAACATAACAGAGTTCAGCTCACTCACATGCCTTTAGTCCCAGCTTAAGCAGGCAGCAAGCACACCTCACACCTCCTTATCCTTCCACATCGATTTAGAAGCAGCCACACAACACTGGTGTCACAGCAGGACCAGGTGAAATTGTGTTACTCCACACTGTGGCACCGAGACCCTCTCAGCTTTCTGAGCGACCCACGTTTTAATGGGATCAGAGATGCTCTAATTATGCACAAGGGATGTTTATGGCTCTGAATAAATAACTAGGTCTGGCAGCGTTAATTATGAGCAGCAGACCCACAGTTAGGATTCTTTTTCCCCCTGCTCTGGCAAGGTGTTCCCAGGTTGAAATTAGGCGGTGTGGGAGGCGAGTGCTGCTCGTGCTGGCTGCCACCAGGCTGTGTTTACTCTGCAGCTGCAGGGTGGTTACAGCGTCACGCGGTGACGCAGCGCGGGGGGCTGCTTTTGCTGGAGGAGTACACCGTGAACACGTGTGACGCAGCCGTGCAACCTGTGGTGCTTACAGGGCCGCGCTTGCCATGACAAGAGCCAAGAGAGCCCGGGCAGGCGTGGCGGCACGCGGTGGGCTCTGATGGAGGCGGGGGGCTGAGCCCCAGGGTGTGCTCCCTTTTGTAGCATTTGGGAGTGGTTGGAGCATGCAGCGGGAAGAAGGGTCTTCCCCGACTGGAGGTGGTGTCCGTGGGGAAAGGTCACCTCCCCTGGGTGCTGGCAGCCCGCCCTGAGCCCCGGGCTTACCCGCAGAACCAGCACCCCCATGTGTGTCACGGCCAGATTGATCTGTGTCCCCTCACCATCACTGGCGGGGTGCGGGCGGATCCCATACATCTCCAGCTTCCTGGCCACATCCAGCAGCTGAACATCTGACTCGGCCGGTGTCTTCCCACTGGAGACACAAACACATTGGTAAGGGACAAGAGTGGGAAAGCAGCTGCTGAAATGGGCTGAAAAAAAGATGCCATTTTGGATGTGCGCATGCTGGCATCACACCACAGCCTGCCTGCTAATGGGAACAGCCCCAGGCTCCCATCAGGTGCTTTAGGTGGGTGACTGTGGCGGAGCAGCCCTTACCCATGTCTCCGATGGTAGTGCATGATTTTGTTGTCCAGGTACTCCTGGTTGGGCAGGTACCTGTGGGTCGCCAGGTGCTCCTGGTCCGTCTCCTCGTGGAAGTCACCCAACTCAGCTGCGAGGGGCATGGGGAGAGCATGGGTCAGGCTGTGAGGTCTCTCTCCGAGGGGCAGGGGATGCCATTGGCTACCCAGCCAAAGCCCCGTCCCCTAGGAGGGGACACCACCCCTGAGGGCACTCTTCTTACACTGCAGCAGGTGGGAGACGAGCAGCGCTGCGCTCTTATCGCTGCAGGGCAGCCTCCCCAGTGCCAGGTCCTTCTTGATCTGGAGGGTGAAGAGGTACCTGTGGAGGGGGACAGGAGCATGCCCTAGGACAGGAGCAGGGCTCAGCAGAGAGCTGAGCTGGCCCCGTGCCTCTCCTTGCCCTTGCCCCTGTTTCATCCAAGGGATGCAGGTCCATGTGGTCACGAGAGGAGCATGCAGCCCTTGCAGAAGGCTACAGCTGAGCACCACCATGACCAGTAGGCCCCTGCCATTGAAACTGTAGGTTTCAGAGTTAGCATTCCTTTATGTTTTGAAGGCATTTGCATATCTTAGGCCTAATGCTCTGCAGAAGTACTTAGTTTCATTCTTAGATCCTGCTTTCAGTGTTTTCTCTAAAATGTAAGAGCTAACAATGTCATTTTGAAAAATAAAACTCCAGTTACTCTTTCAGAACTTGAGGCAGGAGCTAGTCTGAGCAACGTCAGACTTGGTGCCCAACTGGTGAAGCATTTGGCAGTAAACAAATTGCAGCCTCTTAAGACAGCTGATCCTCCCAGTGGATTTTGTTTAAAAACAGATCAGGAAAAGATATTATTTCTGATTTTATTCTGTAAAGTACAGAACTCTTTCAATACTTAGGGTAACCACTGCTCACAGACAAGTTTGGCTGGATAAAGATGAGGAATTGAATGCATGCTTTGTGATTACAAAAATACAGGACTGTTCAGTAAGAAAGTAGCAGAACAAGTACTGTACCTGGTCAGCTCTTCTCTCAGGTGGCTGGGGTCCACTGGGAAAAATTTCACCATAAATTTGAAAAGAACCTCCTTAGGATCTTAAAACACAACATCTTCATAAGTTTTCTTTTACGTGTCTATTGAGAACATTTACAACTCTCTTCACATATACTGTCTCCTTACAGAGTAAATTACTCTGGTTCCTTACAAATCAGGGCTGGAAGCCTTGAACATCAGGGAGTCCAGCCTGCCCCCCAGAAACCAGCTTGCCTAGACCCCCAGTGTTACCAATGGAAGCAAAGGGGGAGTTGGACACCTAAATAATACGAAAGAGAAAATGCCCCAGTAATGCTTTAAATTGTAAAGACTTGTGTTAGGAGGGGAGTTTACATAGAGTGGTTCCAGGGGTGTTTGTCCAGAGCATGGCCAGAGCCTCACTGTAATTGCCATCAGTGGGGCTGTACATTAATGTCAGCCCTCCAAGCATTTGGGGTGCAACAGCTCTGTTGGAGGCTGTTTGAGCAAACCTCTTTCATGGGATGAGTGAGAGCAAGCAGCAAAGGCAAAGAGCATGGAGGGACGAAGGCAATTTTGTAGGCACTGACTCTCCCAGGACACCAGGGGACAGCTCATGTGCTCCTGGAGGAACAGGTGAGAAGAGACAAGAAAGAAGAAAGCAGTGCCTAAAATAATCCCATTTCTGATGCACCCAGAAAGGGGAGGCTCTTTACCAGTCTTAATTCATGCAAACACTGTCCTGTAGCCACCCTATGGCAACTGGAGTCACAGCCTCATGTTCTTGACCATCTCCTAGTCCTCATGTGTTTGGGGAAAACACCGTTTGGTTCGTGGCGAGGGTGGAAACGGGCAGAGACTGATGGGGGCACGGTGTTAACATCAGTCACGGCCACGGCAGAGGATGCGGGGCCTAAATTCAGGTCCGGCTCCGCAGCACCCCCGTGCAGTGGCACGGGGGGAGTGACGAGGAGCAGCAGAGCCCGCGGGGCAGCCGTCGAACCCCGCTGCAGGCGCCAGGCTGCGGAGAGCTGCAGGGGAGAGGGGCGGGCGGGGCGCG